ATGGCAACTATGTCATAGTTTCCCCGGATAAGAGCTTCCAGTTCCTCTTGTTTATTGCCCATACTGCGTGCGTTTGTATAGAAGCACGTAAGTTGGGCTTTCGACCCCACTGCACCCCTAGGGGGGGAAGTTTTATTACCTGAGCCGTTATTTTTGGGTTTTTCTTTTCCCTCTAGGCAACTTGTGTGTTGCTCCTCACTACACATATCCGCCCCTAGTATCCTGAGGCAGCAGGCCGAAGGCACCTGCCTACACTCCTTTCATCAGACAATGGAGGGCCGTCCTCGGCTGTTCATCCTCTAAGTCTGACAATACCCCCCACCCCCTTCACATCTAGTTTAAAGTCCTGTTGATGATCCCAGCTAGTTCTGTAGCGAGCAGCCTTTTCCCCCACGGAGACAAACCCGCCCCATCCCTAGATAGAAGATCTGGCATTAAGGTCAGCCCGTGGTTAAAGAAGCCTAGGTTGTTTTCCTCACACCACTTTTGTAGCCAATTATTTAAATCCTCGATCTTTGTTTTCCAACCCGTGTCATGTCCCAGAGTCGGTATGATAGAAGAGAATCTTACTTGGGCCCCCGATCCCTTCAACATTCTTCCCAAAACCCTGAGATCTTTCTTAATAGTCCGGATGTTTCTTTTCCTAATGTCATCCATACCAACTTGGAAAATAAGAAGAGGGTAGTAATCGGTGGGCCTGACTATAGATGGGAGTGATTTTATCACATCCCTAATTGTTGCTCCAGGAAGGGAGCAGACCTCCCTATGTAAAGGGTCAGGTCTACAAATCTGGCCCTCCACACCCCTCAAAAGGGAGTCTCCTAAAACAATCACCCGCCTTTTCTTCTTAACTGAGGATGTCTTGATGATATGTGTGGTCCTAGGGAAGGATACTAGCGTGTGTGTATTGTCATCCTCCCTGGGGGTTAGTCTTCCTGCAGGGTGGCTCTCCCTTCCGAAGTGTCCACTTCTCCACTCAGTTTGGTATCATCAGCAAACTTCACCCAGGTACACTTCATCGGCTGATCAATCTATTCTGTCTTGAATACTATTGATTGCATGAATCAATAAGCTGAAGTTTGAAAGAAATCTTGTGTAGCAAGCAAAGCTGTTATTTCTTACTTCTGCACTACTCCTCGCTCAGAAACATCGCCAACATTATAGACTGTGTACAGCCAGCACTACAGCTAATGTCTGAATTACATAGATATAGCTATCGCGGTGGCATTATGTGTGAAAAAAACAATGTTTTCTGTTCTAAGCCATTTCTCAGCTTCCTGTGAGTTAATGTACTTTGCAGGATACTGGAATGTGTTTGTGAACCCAGGTGCTGTTGGCAGGTTAAGGAGGAAGTTGAAACACAGGGATGGGACACGCAGGAAGATGCAGATTTTCTACAGTCCTGTGGAACAGGTGCTCCTTATTTCCTATTCCTTTCCTTTCCCTTCCTTTCCTATTTCCTTATTACCTGATCATGGTAAGCAAAAGGCCCACATCTTTCTCCAAAAGCTTACAGGGATGGGACAGCACATAAAGATCACCAGATTGCCCTACTAAAACTCTCTCCTAGAGAGTATTGTAGCAGTGGGAAGTGTCTTTGTGCACAATTTCTTATGTGTCTGCACAAATGTCCACAAAGGCAATCTGATCCTAAAAACTAATTATAGAGTTGATAAGAACAAAACCTAGTGCAATGCTTATGAAAGCTTTAGTTTCCAGTTTTCTGACTGGGGCAAGCTTAATATTTCATGTGCAATTTATTTTTATATGTCTGTGCATGTATTTATTGCGAGTGTCACACAAAGATATGCTAAAATATGATCCCAAAATGCAAGACAAGCAGTTTCTCCCAGAGTAATGGGAAGGAATGTAAATTATTTAGAATAAAAGCAACCCAGTAAATCATGTTCTCTACAAATAACTGAAAAAACTTGCTTCAAAGATGTGCTGGAAGAGCTTATGGGAGGACTGGGAAAATTTCCTTTGATGTACGTTCATGCTTTCATGGAGTAATCAGGAGAGCCAGAGTTTGTTCTCTGACGTTTATAGAACAATTTCGGCAACAGCACAATTTTTGCCTCCGGATCCTGCTAGAATACTCAGACTTCAGTCATCTTTGAAACATCTTGAAAGGCAGGATACTATTTCTAGCAAAGATGTTCACAGATTAATGGATGTTCTTAACTGGAATATCTGGATATATAAGACAGAGTGATTTTTTTTTTTAAGATGGATGACCAAACAGATTTTCTAATCTCTTAAACCTTTTGAAATCACAGTAGCTCTAGGCCAGGGGATTTAGCAACAGCTAAGAAGACAGCTCATGAAACCATCTTAAGGTACTGGAAGTGTTATCTGTTAATGACTTTTACACAAATGCATTCAAAAAGGATAGGCTGAGCAAGAGAAGAAAATATCAAGTTATGGGACTTCAAATGTGGGGCCCTTTCAGTACAAGATGATAAGTGCTGAGTGGTGATCAGGAAAAATGGAAAATAAGTGTCTAGAAAAAGAGGTTTTAGAAGGCAGGGGCCACACTACAGTCTATCAAGGCTTATAAACTTTCTCTGCAACAGGGAGTCTGCTGTAAAAATGCTCTGTGTTCTTGATCTGAGGGAAGAGGTGCCCTCTTCGCTAGCACCTCATGTAAAGCCACTGAACCAGGGTAACAATTTCTGTTTTAAGAAGTGAACTACGTTAAAAAAAGCCTGAATGTTACAGAAAATGTTATCTTACCCCAGCTTCTGTTAAAGAATCGGAAAACTTCTTTGATAAGCATGAAACTTCATTGCACATGGCACTTGTTAAACTGGTTTAAAAAAAAGAGAGACAAGTATAAAAACACATCCTTGTCCTGTCAATGGATGAAAACCCTATGAGTGTTCCAGGCACAAACTTAATCTTAGAAGCCAAGAATATTCTTAAGGCAATTTTGCTTCTAGTAAATGACTTTGTTCATTATATAGTTTTTAATATTCCTCCCCTGAAATATTCATTGCTGACTATAGCAGCAAAATGATGTCATGTTGGCTCAACCACTAGTCTTTTTTGATCGGGCAATGTTTCAGTTTGTAAATTCTAAACTTCTAGTTTAACTATCATTTTTCTGATGATTGCAGCAACACAACTCCTAGAAATACTGTTGGAAATAAATCAAACTTTAATAAGAACAGTGAGAAGTCTCCTACCTAAGCAATAAAACATCTCCTCTACTAAAAGAGAAAGTACCCCTGTGGTTAAAACGTGAGAGAACAAAGAGATCTAGTTTTATTCCTAGATCTTTCAATGTTTTGCTCAAGTTTCACAAGCGCATCGTATAGAACCTTATCCTGCAAGGTGCACTGTTCCTTCGTTCTAATTCTGAAAAATACTTGTTCAAGCACTTTGTTTCAGACTGAAGTGTTCCTATGGACTTTGCTATTGTTACTGGCATTCTTAAACACCTGCTTAAATACTGCACTTACTTAAGACTCAAGTGCTTACAACATCTTAAGTCAAAGCCAACTGAAATCAGTAGAATCGACTACTTGAGAGAGCTTGAAATCTGGATTTTAAGTCTCACCAGATAAACTGGCTTCTTGAATGTATGTATGTTTTGTCATGGTTTACTACAAAGTTGCTGACAAGTGTGGTTTTATTGTTCAGAACTACAGATTGATTTTTGTACATTTTTGGCAGATAATCACTAGATAATGATATTCTTGGCAGATAATAAGACTGCATTATGCACTCTAAAAGCAAATTCTGTATATGCTAGCACAGTATTGTGGAGAAACTTTTTGGCTGCTGCAGCATCCTGTGAAAGTTCTTTCGTCCAAATACTGTTTCATAGATTAGCTTATCCCCTAGCTGCTTCCACGCTTCTGAGCTAAAGGGGGTGTTGAGGTCCATCAGGCATTCATACTCTGCCACACAATTTAACAGCTCACAGAGAGCTTCATCACTTATTTTAGCACCTGCGATTGTCATTGCAGGTTTGAGAATGGAAAACATCATGCTTTCTTTTGTGGACCTTTGTCCCATCATTCTAATTTGCAGTTCGTCCCTTGGAGCCCCATGTACGGAAGCACGTACCTTCAGATCTTAGTTGTGGCTGGATCACGTTGGGGTCACCAGTTGTCGCAGCTGGAAGGCTTCAGGTGGCTCCAAGCAGACCAATGTTCTAATGCGAAGGCTTTAGGCTCTACTCTAAGGAAAGCCCACACTCCTCCAAGGCTCAGGAGGAAATGCCTCACCCTTAGGAGTAAACGCCCTGCCTTAAATAGTCAGGAGTCACATGGTTTGCTAGATGGGTCAAAGCTATTGGTCACTTGACCATCCATCTCCCAGAGTGATTGGCTGAATGCTACAGCACCTGTTTCAAGGTAACTTTCCCAGTGTAACGAGCTACAGGTGTTTCTTAGTTAGCCTGCATAGGGAAAGAACTTTCACAGGATGCTGCAGCAGCCAAAAGGTTTCTCCACAGGTACCTTTTGCAGAGGAATATGAAATGCAACTCAAAATTAGCATGTGCATTCACTTGTTGGAGCAGAAACAACATTCAGCCTGCGAACAGGTCATGTTTTTGTAAACATACATATGCTCGCCATTGCAAAAAATGACAGGTAGCCTATGTAATTTGATCATATGAGAAAATATAGCACCAGGATCCCTAAAGCCAATGCTGCTTGTTGATCCATGGAATTACTGTGTCTTCAAGTGCCAAAAGCTGAACAGAGCTTCATGAGTTTTAAGCAAATGTCAAATGTTCATATATGAAATATGTCATACTCACTTTGTCAGTACTTTTGCTTGATCTTGAGCTGTTTTTTCTACTTCCTGCCCATGCAGAATTAATTCTGCTACCTTATGAAGCTGTTCAATACAACGAGCAGTGACCTCAGCCAGACTTTCAATGGACAGCATGTAGATTTCCTTAAATTAAAAACAGAGAATAACATCATCTATAATAACATCACCGATAAATATACATATAGCTACATATATACAAAAGAATTTGAAATGTAAGAGCCCTCCCTGCCCCAATTGGAAATACGACCACATACATAGTGAAGTAATACAAGTCATAATGTCATCTTCACAAAAAATACTGGAAAATGAAATATCCGCAGATTATAAAATACAGATCTGTATTTTATAAATAGTCATCCTGAAAAATTAGTAAGAACAAGTCTACCATTTATCTCAATGAGAACTAGGTCAGGGTCTCGGATTTTTTAACATAGCACTTTTAAACCTAGTCCTAACAAATACAATGATCACTTAACTGTGAAATAAGTCATAATTACTCTCATATGGAACCAGAAGTATTGAGTCATGAATCTCCAGAGTAGAAACAGATAATACTCCCAATAAAAAAGTAGCTTTTATCAGCAATGACAAAAAATTCTACCTAGCACTATAGCGTTACAGCTTTCACAAGGTGATGCCAGCTGGAAATCTGCAATCACACAAAAATCCATAATATATACGGTGTACTTCTGTTTCCTTCTTTGGACCTTTTTTGTAAGGTAACACGACAGGTAATTTCTTTATTAGAATTCATTCAAAAAATCTTGACAAAGATACCAACCACATTTAATATTGCTATAATGGCGGAAAATATTCAATCACAATTAACCTTATCAACAAGAGGGGTTGTCTAAACGGACACAATACTTCTAGCACTAAGTGCTATCTTTCATAAAGAGAATGAACACTTGTGCGTTGCCTAAATAATTTTTCTGTTTTGTTTGTGATTTAAACTGTTTAAAAAAGTTTGAGAATTTTTTCCGTGTATTGTCGCTGGGAGAAAGAGATACCAAGGAACGCTGAGATACGACTTTCAACGTGCTATTGACATTGCACCGCAGAACCCCTGAGCTCACTGTATGTTCTGTACACACGCATGCACACACACAAAAACATAGATATAAAAAAATAAAACCAGTGCATTAGGCAGAGCACCTGCTACATTGATATTTACTTTAGGGAACAGAGTAACAATGAAAATATTTATGTAAGTTAGTTTCCTACTCGGTCTACATTGAATAGTTATATAAGGACAACATATAAAACCAACACAGAAAGATAAAGAAGTAATTTTATCAAATAAAGCATGACAATTTGCCTAATGAAACTTATCCTTCAAAAGCTATTTTACCTCCACGGTTTTGTTTTTATCGACTTCTGGTTTATCACTGTCAATTTTATCTTCGTTTTCAGTCTTGTCTTCAACAGGTTCTCCAGGTTTTTCTTTCAGCTTCTCTTCTATGTCTACTGGGGTGGAAAAATTGGCTTTTTCCAGCCACTCATGAGCTTTTTTCCTAGCCTGCCAAACAAAGAAACCAACCCCAACGTTCACTTCAAATACAGAATATCGAAAGATGTTTCTGAACATTAATTAACAATACATTTAATTACTTCCTTTTACATTCAGAAGTTTAAACATACCAAGCCACTGTGTACCATTTAGTTAAGTGTGTATTTAAGAAACTGTAGGGAGAAGCATTTCTGATGGCATAAAGATGGATTAACCAGGGATAATTCCTGTACAGGTATGATATTTCTAACCAACATCTAGAGTTGGTGTTAATGACAAAGTTACTAATATTTCAGCTTTATGAGGTATCTTTCAAAGGAATTTACATGGAAATAATTTTCCCAAATAAAAAAATAAGAAGGTGGTATAAAAAAAAAAGAAAAAAAAAAGAGAGGTAAGAGAAATGTCCTAAATTCTTAAAAAAAAAATAAATAGAAAATCACTGTATCTTCAGCTGCCTTCCCAGCCATGAAAGTAGATCAAAGTGGAAAAGCACTTTGTAAAAACTGTATAAAACTTTGTATAAAACTTCAAGTCTTATGCAACTTCAGACTACTGTTATGGTTAGTAGGAAATTTATGATTTCTCTTTTTCAACATGAAGTCAAATTAAAATATTTTAAGACCTAAGCCTAAGCTGGTCTATCTATGTAACTAGAGAGATAAACATTCATCTGAGCCTAAGATCAGCAGATCAATCACCTTTAAAGGGGCCTGATAGTAAAAATGTGACTAGCGATGTCACTAGCTTCTAGTTGTCCAACTTTTAGCCGACTGAAGCTAGATGAGACAACTTCCAAGACTTCACTTCTAGATAAAAAGGTCTGGAGATGTCCCTCAGAAGAATAAACATGATGAGCAAGAACAATAATTCTGAACCTGAACTTTGTTCCCAGTATGAAGACCAAACTGCTGTGCTCAGGAACTCTGTTCTGCTGAGACAACCCTGGTTCAAAGCTTTCTATCGTAGCCCATTGTGCTAGCTGGTCATTGCATCTGTATTGCTTGCAACCTCACTTCTTCTATGAAAGCTTTCCTATAGTCATAATTTTAGTCCCACTCTCCTGTACTTTGCTTTCTGAACTCTTTGAACAGAGACAGGCACAGGTACTGCTCTGTGTCAGATTTCAGAACAAAACCCTCCCTCTTTGTCTTTGTCCAAGAAACAGAGGGCAGCTCACGAACAGGTTCTAACCTTATTAAGTTTGTCAGGAGTAGCAGCAACGTGCAATTCAAACAGCAGTTCGGTGAGCATGCTGACAAACTCTTCTCCCATATCTGCTGCAAGAAAAACAAGACAATATTTTTAGGGTGTTAGCACTATAATATTTCACACGATCAAATATATCCAGTCAAATAGTTTCCCTAAGCACTCTGGCACTTGAAAACCAGTGACAGTGATACAACAAAGGGGGGAGTGTGTGTGTGTATATGCTTGAAGAAAGAAGCGAAAAAGCAAGAGAAGTACCTGTACAACCAGATATGCTAGCTTGACATTTCAACTACTCCTTCCACCCCATTGCAAATTCCATTAAGTTTCACAAAAAACAGGTAAGAGGAGAAGAAGCTGCATTATCCCTAGTTATCTGACAAAAATACACAGAATCATAGAATTATCTAGGTTGGAAAAGACCTTGAAGATCATTGAGTCCAACCGTTAACCTAACATAGCCAAGTCCACCACTAAACCATGTCCCTAAGCACCACATCTACACATCTTTTAAATACCTCCAGGGATGGTGACTTGACCACTTCCCTGGGCAGCCTGTTCCAACGCTTGACAACCCTTTTGGTGAAGAGATTTTTCCTAATATCCAAGCTAAACCTCCCCTGGTGCAACTTGAGGCCATTTCCTTTTGTCCTATCACTTGTTACTTGGGAAAAGAGACGCACTTCATGTCCCACAAAATAACCAAAGCAGAAGAGATATTAACCTCTTCCTTCAAGACATGGAATTAAAACTGCTGCAAGACTAGACACAAATAAGTTTCAGAGGAAACATATTGCAGAACATGTTCTTTATTGCTCTGTGTGCAAACCACACATAAGAGGTGTGTTTTCTTTCTATTTTAAGATTAAGCTTTGTTTTAATGAAGAATGTTTTCTGATCTGCTTTGGAGTAATGAGCCTTAAAGAATCTGCACTTACATTTCAAAAGATTTATGAGCAAAGATAAGTATCACTAGTATTCAAACTTCAACTTTATTATACATATTCCTTTGACTACTTGCAGTTGCCATATTCTAACATGCTCTAAGCTCCTAAAAGTTGTTATTTTGGTTGGTTCTGTTCATCTGCACCTACTGAGTTTGGAATCTTCATTAACATTTCCTGGGGGAATATACCAAATTCATTTTTTTCAGCCTGATGACGCTAAAAGGTTAAAGTCCCCATACTGAGCCTGACAGAAGTCCAGTTACTTAAAAAAAGAATTTTATGTCTTGCTGTATTTCAACTTTTTTGTTCATTTATTAGGTAAGGCCAGTTTTTCCATTTTTATGCAAATCTTCCATACTTGGCTTAACGTGGATGGCCATTACTCTCCAATGAGTTTGGAGATTTTGGTAGAACAGTTTACAATCCACAGTACCTTGCATCATGTGGAAATGTGGTGGAATCTGACACTCAGATTGTAATGTCCTACAGCAAAAGACATCTCACCCTTGCTTGTAAAAAGAGTATCTATCCTTGGTGCTATAAAATACGTTAAGTATTTAGCACAAAGAACTCTTCACCTGCAATGACCAAGAGACTGAGCTTTCCCTTTAACAGCTGGAGAACAGGTCAAGAAGAATGTACTCTGGCAGGCCAAAGAGATGCACAGAGATCATTTAATTGCTTTCCTTACCAGTGAATTTTGGAAATGAGACTTTCAGGTTTTTGATACACTGAATTCACTTGTTCTTAAAACAATGCCAAATTGTTTTATAAACTGCAGCATGCTGAAAACTGATAAGCAGTTCACTAGATCAATGCAGTATTACCAAAATTGTTGATAACTGGCATTTTCAATTCAATACTCACTTTGGTTACAGTTTCTCTTAACCTCACATATGAAATTTTTTGTGCTAATGGCTTTCAAAATGTAGGTAAACCTACTTTTTCAGATATTCTCCTCTGATTATTTCACAAACAGCTGAAAGGAAAAGAAGCTGTAGTGAAAAATACATGAAAGAGTTGCATAATCAAAGCGAGAGGAAACGTTAGAGAGAAGGGCATGTATTTGGCTTTCTCCTATTTGTGTCAGAAAATATCTTTTCCCTTTCTTTCTTTTCATATTGATTTTGCATCTATCTGACTGTTAAGCAAAGACACAAACCCCCTACAATACTAGTTTCAAAGTTGCCAAGAACAAAGCCTAGCACCAATTCTCTCCCAAAACAGTCCTCCAAAGATCACTGCAGTAATTTCTCCTTATGCAGGACTGAAAGTGTTTATGGTAGAACCTAAAAGCAGCACTAACATGTCTGAATGAGATCCTGAGAGTTTACATAAAACAAAGAGCCATCCTTTTTGAACACTTGAATGCAAAGTACTGGCCTTCCTCCTAGCTAGTCTTTTCTTTTGCTGAATATATATAGCGCTGACAAATGACATCATATAAATAACATGACTTTGATGTCGAGAAAGTGGCAACAAGTTAGCAGTAAGTGTTAATTAACTTGTTTTCAAATACTGCTCAGTGGCTAGATAAGATTTAGCATTTTCAAACACTATTAGTTAATCTCTGTCTTTTGTAGGGGGGTGGCTTCTTTACATAAAGGAAAAACCACAAGGTTTTTTGAGCTAGGAAGATAAATTAAAATCTTACTGAAGGCAAGTTAGTTGCAGTTTCAAACTGTTTAACAAGCAGGATTAAAACTCAAAATTCCTCCACAGAATTTAACATGGCCTACTACCTCTTGCTCAATTAGCTAGCTTAAGTAAAACTATGTAACACATAGCCTACTGATTTGATTTTCTAAGTGTAAAACCTATTAATGTGACTAACAGAACATATTGTATTAACTAACTTGAACTGAGAACACAAACTAGAATCAAGCCTTTTCTTCAGAGCAAGACATGAGCTGCATTTAATCCTGATCAGACAACCTATTGTTAATCTTTACTGTGTTTTATCTATGCTGGATGCTAAATTATGTTTAAAATTTTTGCTAACATTAAACATAGACCCTTGTCTTAGTGTAAATATAAATTATGCTTAAGGTCTCAACGAGTCATTTCAGATAAACAACTCCAGTTTAAAAATAAAACCAAACAACTCAAACCTAGACCCTAAAAGATCAGGTGTCCTCTCTGGAAAGCTAAACTTATTTGTAAATATGACCAGAACACTACGTGTAGTCAACAGAAAGTCACTGGAATCCAATTTAAATGATGTAACAAGTGGCAAACCAAAGTCTGAATGAAGCATTAATCTGTTTAATAAAACTGTGCTCCATGAGGGGAAACAGACATGCAAATCACATACAACATTACTTGTAAAGGTGCTCGATATTTTTATCTAAAAATGGCAAACAATCGTCATGTAAGGGCCTATTAATGAAATTCTTTAAGTTTTACAAAGTTTTATGCATTTGCTGCACTTAATAAAAACACTTACAATCCTGTGCATTAACAAATTCAGGATGAAGGTTGGTTTTCCCTGACTCAGGAGGATCATAAGAAGCCTTCACTCACTCTGATAAGATTTTAATGAAGGTAACATATTTTTGTGAAGGGTACCCAGACTAGGACACTGTCTAGAGGGGATGTGTCGAAGCACTGTACAGTGTTAAGAGCACTCTTGATGCAGTGTTGCATGGGCTACGGATTATGGGTGAGAGGCTGAAGAAAGAAGTAAAAGCTACACGTCCCAGGTTAGCAGCCTGACCACAGAATTGTCAGCTCAGCCCTAACAGAAAGCTACTCTGAGGAGCGATTAACATTTCCATTCTTTTGGTGTCCTCCAGTGGAACTAAAATTTATCCAACTTAATACTAATATATGAAATACTAATAAATCTTGAGCCTGACTGTACTAAAGGATGTGAGTATTTTTGAACTGCAGCCTGAAGTAACACCCTTTCAGCTGTAGGGTGGAGAGAACATGTGTGCGGTCGCTACTTCCGCTGTCACAGAGAGGAGGACTTGACTTACTGTGCCTTACTGCTGACTTATTTGCTTTTGCAGGGGAAAACCTGCAGCACGCTCTGAATTTGCCTTTTTTCTCCTTTTTTTTTTTTTTTTTTTTAAGGTGCACATTGCCTTGGTCCCAGTCTATTTAGAAGGCCAGTTAATGTTTCCAGGAGCATGATCAGCAGCTGCGCTTCACTGAAAAAACAGAACTTCTGACCACAGAGAAAATATCACTTTGTGCAAGAAACAGAGCTTTTCCTAGAGGCTGGTTTCAAAGCAAGGAACTATTTCCCACAGAAATTAAGGAACAATAGACACCTCACGAATCCTTACTCTTAAGTAATACACTTTCTTGACTTCTATTTCTCACAAATCCACTTTTTAAAAAAGTAACAAGGGAAAAGAACAGCACAAAACTCTACCTTACTGAGACTACAAGGAACACTCGCTGCCCCCGCCCTGAAAGGAAACAATAAGCTCCCTCTGAGAGGCAACAGGCATAATGCTGACTAAGCACTGGTAGAGAGAGCAGTCTGAGCAGAAAAGACTTTCCAGCTAGAATGTGTGGATGTTAACACAATTTTCCTAACTTTTCTGAAGGCTAGAGAAAGCATATCTCATCATCTTACAAAATGTAGCTTTTATGGGTAAAGCACCCTGAGAAGATCAAGAGGATGTGGCAGAAATATCTTTTTATGCATAATTGTTTCTGAATCACAACAATACGGTGTTTAATGGCATGCGCCAGTCCTCAGTCAGGTCAAGCGTATTGTTTCTATTAGGTAGAAGAGGTTTGGTGTGGATCTCGGCGGCCTGGAGACACGAACTGTGGTGACTTTAGCTAACTTCTTATCCTTCTGTTCCCAGCCTGCTCTGGGGAATGCCAAAATTCCTGACCTGTTTAAGACAGACACCTATTTTGCCCCTAACCAAAGGGCCCACCCATTTTATTACAATTTTTGTGAGCTGACCTACGGACTGCCGTGCCGGCCCCATTCTCTTTGACGCTGAGCACCATGTCATAGTTACAGCACGCTTCTGCTACGGTAACCTCTTTTGCACACTCCACATGCCACCTTTTGCCAAGCAATACCTAGAAAGCAGCTTTGCCACTATGTTCCAAAGTGACTTTCCTTCAAAAAGTTCAGGGTTTTTAAGTTCCTCTATTACACTCTGATCTTTTCCCTATCTAGCAAAGGTGGGTGCAAGGTAAGCATGAAGTTGCTAAACAGAAAACCATTGCTAAACACTCCTAAACTTTCAGATTACACAATTTCATAAACAGATTCTGAAGGAAAACCTCAGTTATCCGAAAGGTTATTCTTGGTTTTGCTTTGCTTTCACTGATGATACAGTAAAGTAACACAATACTTCCTTACCTTATATTTTCTCTATCTCACACTTCAGTTACAACATAAATCCAAAATTAAGCATTGATCAGCTTCCAGAACTTCAGAATTATTATTAATTTTAATAACTTGCTTATGAGTATCAGGATATCAGAAATTATAGTTTGGATTGTAATTTTTTAAATTACTATATGCAGAAGTAACAATTGTTCATATGTTTAAGTTTCTGTATTTCGAATTACCTTTCTGTGCCTGTACCACTTCATCATCTGATTCCTTTGGAATAAAAATCTCCTTTATAGCAATTAAATCATTTTTCACAGTCTCCAGCTGCTCTCCATCAAGTGTCACTAAAAATGACTGAATCTGTAAAAGAAAGGGCAGAAAGAATTCCTAAACAAAACATAGGCTTTTTCTTAAATTGCTCATTTTGAGCCTGATACCAAAACAGGCAAAGAAATGGAAACTTCTATTATGCTTAAATCTTGTCTCTAACCTTCCAACTTACGTAGATGCACTTTTAGTTCTCATCAACAAAATATGTTGAGTATCACAAAAATTACACCAGCCTTGCAAAATCATCAGGTCTCTACCTTCACCCAGAACATTTGTTTTGAATTATAAAACTGTGGTTTAATTGACAGCTAAAATTCAAAACCATATTTATCATACAGGCCTTATTAACTTTAGCATGTTCTTCAGAGAGACATATATCATTTGTGTACCTCCAGTAATGGTATCTTGGGGTAGTTTTATGGAAGTTTAAAATCAAACACAGTAAGGAAGACTTAGGAATTGAGTAAGTAATCTGGAATTCATTTTAATTCACTATTCTCTAGCTGTAGTAG